TTTTCCGGAAATGCTTAAAACGGAACAGTTTTCTGTTATTTTCAGAAAAAGCGGGTCTACACTGGCAGGATGTTTTTCTGGAAAAGCACTTTTTCCGGAAGAGTGTCCATGCCAATGTAGACGCGCTTTTCCGCACAAAAGCCTCGATCGTCATTTTCGCGATCGGGGCTTTTTTGCGGAAAAGACTACTGGGCTGTCTACACTGGCCCTTTTCCGGAACAGTTTTTCCAGAAAAGGACTTTTGCCCGAACAGGAGCAGCATAGTTTTTCTGGAAAAACAAGGACGATTTTACATTAGATTGTCATTGCTTTTCCGGAAAAGCAAGCGGCCAGTGTAGACAGATTTCAAGTTATTCCGGAAAAGCGGTTGCTTTTCCAGAATAAGTGGCCCAGTGTAGACACAGCCAGGTTGTTTAAATGAAATGGGGAGGTGACTTTGGGATGTTGTCAAATGGTTCCTCTATCTTAAAAAAAAAAAAAAAATGTATGTGGGGGATGCCATTAAGGAACCTAATTCTCCCACCTATCTGGCAGATGTGAGGGCAAAAAGGAAGGCTATCTTGATGGGTAACTGCAGCAAATAGCAGTTTGAACACCTTAAAACAAACAGCTTTTCCATAAGTCCACAATGAACAAGGTTAAGGTCCAAGTCCCACGTAGGTCCTGGTTTCCTTATTGTGGGATAAATGTTCTCAATGCCTTTAAGGACTTGAAATCATCTCCATGGTGAAGGGTGGCGGCATTATGGTTGCATCTAATGATGAAGATGAAGTAGGTGGCGATTTCCTTCAGTTCCATGTTTCTTCCTCTAGTATTTCTAAGGGTGCAGGGACAGTTGATGGCAATTGTACTGTTCCAGACCTTACGCGGGCCAAAGGGTTGCAGTGTCAAGCCCTATACATTCCCAATATGGCCAGTTGAGACTGGAATGGCACAGGGACAGTGCCCTTACTAAGTCCATATATCTGCATATGGTTGCTGGTGAGATGGTCCAGGCTTGGGCGAGGAATAGCAAGGAGTAGGTATTACAGCATCACCCTCTTCCTCATCACTAAAGGAGTGATCCAGATGGAGTAGTTCTCTGGCATGGTACTGACCTGGATGAGGTACCCTCAATACCAAATGAAGGAGATTCAGCTGTTAGAGCTACTATCAGGTCCTCCTGTTTTGTGAATTGTTGCAGAACGGAGCTTGACAACTGTGGATGGCATTGTCAATGGTGCCAAGGATTTAGAGCTGCACAGCATGGGTACAGCAAGTGGCATTGTTGCTCTGCACGGTGCCAAGGCTCCAAAGGGACCGAGTAGGAGGGTTTCATTTTGTTCTGTGAATCTCCATTTGAGGTTGCTCAGATAGGCTCGCCAGTTCTTCAGACCAAATATTCCCCGTAACTCAAAATGCTCTCGGTGCCATCAGTACCAGGGCAAATTTTTCAGTTGGAGATGTTAGGCAATTCTCAGTGTGGTAATGTCTGTGACCAGCTCTTTGTGGCCTTTTTCAAAACAGGCTCCTAGCTAGATGTAGGTGCAGAACCCATCAGAGGCTTCTGCTGGCAACCATTGGCCCAAGAGTATCCTGGCCTCAGGGTCTGAGGCTGGCCTGAAAGATTTTTCCCTCATAAGGAGTTTCAACTGTAGACCTGTTGGGCTGTTTGTTTGTTTTTGCCCTGTCAAGATTTCTGCAGTGGCACTTTTGAATAACATGTCTTGCCAAGACAGGGAACATGCTGTGCATGCCCATCAGAAACCAGTTTGGAGTGTCTAAGTCAGGCAGCAGGACATGTCTTAAAGTCTGTCTTGCAGAGAAAAATGGGAGTAAATGCTGCCCAAGAGTAAAGCCATCTGCATCCTGGGGAGGCAGAGGTCGATAGGGAAGGTGAAAAGTGAAATAAGAGGAGAGTGAGGGCATAGGTTAGCTAATACTATAAATTATCAACTATTATCTACTATTTATCTTATCTGAGATAAACAAGGGTGCTGCTGATAACTATGACTAGAGCTGAAGGCGTTAAAGAAATAACTGAGGTACTGTTGGCTGCACATTGCTGTGTAACTGCTTGGAGAATTGTACACCACAACTGAGCACTGCTATCACTAATCTCCAATTACAAACACAAAGTCTTAAGACAGCGGAAAGGGAGCACCCCTTGAAGAGCTAAGCTATACTATGTTTTGGCTAAAAGTATACACACTAAAATAGGTGTCTATGGACACAGAGGATTCTGGCTCAGGCCAGTCAGTAGTAACAGCAAACTAGAGATGTACCCATCCATTTTCACCCATAGGCCCTTGGTTTGAAGCATGAAGGCAACATGTACTCCAGTAGAACCTCAGCTACAAACACCTTGGAGATGGAGACTGGATGTAACTAACTCTGAACAAAACATTATGCTTCTTTTCAAAAATTTACAACTGAACAATGACTTACTCCTGCTTTGGAACTTTCCCGTGCAGAAGAAAAATGCTGTTTTTAATATCTGTCATTTAACTTCCTTTTTGTCTCTGTTGCTGCCTGATTACATACTCTGGTTCCAAATGAGGTGTGTGGCTGACTGCTCAGTTCGTAACTCTGGTATTCATACCTCAGATTCTATTGTACTTGCTAGAAATCTCTCATCTCAGGCACACAGGGACCAACTCTTGAACATTACCTTATTCCTGCCTTTTTACTAGTCATTCGGCTTTTCCATGTGTGGAAAGATGGCACCTCCAATTCACTTCAAACAAAAACTACAAATGCTGAAATATGAAAAAAATGCTTCCAACAGAAGTTTATCAAAATTACTTTTGATGAGTGCTGCTCATATCCACCCAGTTACAACACAGGGCACGGAAACAGTATTCATAGTAGCACAGTCAAGCTAATTACAGTCAAGCTAATACATTGCTAATTTCAAATTGTGTAGCATCTACTTCCTGCTATTTAAATGTAAAATAGCCTACTGCCTTGTTAAAATTTTATTTCCAAGTTCTCATCACTAATCCTCCACTGTTCTCTTTTGGTTTGGCTTCCAGTCTCAAACACTCACATGCAAAAATATTACCATGCTCTCATGTAATGAATTAGCCGCCAAGAATTTCAATGCGTTTCCCCTACCACCACTAAAATTTACCAGGCATGGAGAAGGGCCATGTAAGATATATGCAGGATAATGGCCAGGATCCCCAGCCCATCCAGAATATCCACTTCAGGGAGAGCTGCGCAATGCAACTGGAGAAAGCCCTTCCATTCTCTCAAAACTCACTACCAGGGAAGCATCCAATTCAGTCAATCAGATGACTCCTCAGTACACGTGAACATACTCTTCACAGCAAAATACAATCACTATGGTGCCTATCACCTGGAGCATTGTTCGCATAAAAAAGCTTTCTTCAGTGCAGCCAGGACTCACTCCACACAACATGGTATATACACAACACATGCTTAGACTTTAGCATGATAGAACTGAACAACTATATATTATAAATGTAATGGAAAAATCTGTAAAAACTTTAAATGTTCTGAGATAGACTACACATGTTTAATTTGCACTAAAAACTAGTCAGGGATCATAATGTCTAAAAAAACCAATCTGACATTTAGTCTAGAATTGATTTCATCCCATGGATTTCCAAACACACCTCACATCAACATTACTGTGAGGTGAGGGGAGGAGAAAAGGAAAAAATCAAGTGTTACAAGACACAGAATGCATTGATCTATGAAAACCCCTTGCAATTCAGATGGGAGGAGCAGCAAACAAATTCATATTTCACCATGGGTGACTTTATGGCTCCAAATTACAAGATTCATCTGCTAGAGAGAGTGGGGAAAAGTGTTGGAACTTGAGGGAAGGCTATTAATACTAGGGGGAAAAGGCAGAGACTTCTAGAAATAGAGATTAATCCTGTGAGACTGGAGAGGCAGACATGGGTGCTCAGAGGGCAGAAATTCTTTTGGGATCTGAAGAGCGGGTCATTAAAGGATAACTTTGTGCATGCTTCGTGTCCAGAACTGGAACCATAATGACATAAAAATGCTTCTTAAATTGTATTAGGCACCTATAATTGCATCATTTTGATAACTACATACATCTATTGAGCCTCGTTATCAAGTTTTTAGTCCTGTGGGGCTTGTGTACATTTCAAAAGCCTAAGCACCACAGGGAGCATGGGGCGAGCAGGGGACTCAAGCAGTCCTGTTTCCCCATGTTCCTATTGCAGCTGCTTTAGCCCCACGGGGCTCTTGTACATTTCAAAGTCTGAAATGCCATAGTGAGAACAACAGGCCAGCAGGGATTGCTGGAGTACCGCTGGCCCCATGCTCCCCTGCTCCCTCCACTGCCTCTGAGGAGCAAGGAGGGGGAAACAGGAGCTGGTAGTTATATCGACTATATCATTACTCTGAAAACCGCATTTTAACATCCTTACAACAGCCTAGCTTGCTGTGCAATAACAGCCTATGTGAACACTAGAACAGGGTACTAGAGATACCAGACTGCACTACAGGTAGTAAGGTTAAAAATGTACACTGGTACTCTTAGTCTTTTTTTTAAAACCTGGACAACAGAGTATTCAACATGCTCCCCCCCCCCCCCCCCCATCTAATAAAAAGAACCAAACAAGCTAACTGAGGTAGTGCCTTACAGTGTTGTAGACTGCAAGTCATGCACCATGACACCAAATTTCAGCCCAAAATTGAAGCCAAGAATACTGAGGCACTCAAAGCCCCCGAAGAGCTTTCAATGGAAGCATTCATGAAAAAGATGTTCGCTGGGACCAGCACCGCTCCTACGTTAATTGTTCCTTATTGAATGCGTGCTATCATTTGCTCATCTTTAACTTAGAATTTTTACGTCAAAGTTCAGAAACTTATTTCAAATCTTTTCACATCAGAGAAACATCACAATAGAAAGCAATGTAAAAGCAATACACTCTCCACAAATGTGAACAAAAAATCAGAAGGTAGTGACAGATACCATTGAACAGTTTAATTAAAAAAAAAAATCAAGAATTCAACAGTGCCTAAATCTTTATTTTTTCATAACCTACATATTTTTCAAATTAGACAAGTTTTACATTTTATGACACAAAAGGAAACTTAAATTACCAATAGTTTACATGTAAGCTTGATTCCAGTCTTAATGGAAGAAGTAGAACAAAAACAAAAACCCTCAAAAAAGCTTCCATATTACACTTCTATGTCATGAATTGGCAGCTGTTAGCGCTCCTTGAAAGTCTTCGATTGTCTGCTGCTATTAGTGTAATAGGTTACAAAGCACATAAAAATCCCTGTCACTAGCTGAAGGAGATAGAGATCGGTATGCACCATTACAGTCAACTGTTTGTGATACACTGCATCACACCCACAAACAAGGGTTTTTCCCATACTAACTGCTCAATCTTCAGACAACAATGCAGCAACAAAAAAGTTCGCCACTTCCCACTGATTTCTAAGTGGCAAATTATGATGTCACGGTGGGGATTGATCTGCAATGAAATTCACATTAAGTCTCAAAAGCAATTTTTGTTTCAAATGCATTCCTGGACCAAGAGTCTCAGATTCTGTATTAACTTGTTTTATATTTTTCAAATGAAATGCACACAATCTTACAAGTTAAAATGTCAATTTTAGTTACTGTATCTCTGAACCTGCTTCTGGAAGGATTTTTTTTCCTTTTAACTTTTTAGAAGCCACATATTAATAGCTATATGAACCTTAGCAACAGTCTGCATGCAACATCCCAACTGTCTACTCTGAAAATCCATTTTGTCACTGCGTGGAAAAATCTCAAAGTAAATGCAGCAAAGGTAAAGGTTTTTTTAATACTATATACAGCTACTTGGCAGATCACTTGCATTTTTTAAAAAAAGCTATAAAACCACATCAGAGCAAGGTTTAAACTCTTGTTGCAACAGACTGTTGCTGGGTAAGCAGTAATTACAGTGTATTGACCTAGTACAAATGGCAGCAGAATACATTAGAACAGCACAACACAATCCGCTGGTCTCAATATATTACCGTATGTCCCAGTTGGCTATTATGATTAGCTGTACACTGTTGCTGTAAGTGACCATTTTTTATTGTTTGCAGCTGTCCACGTTTACTCTTTCAGCAGGCAAACAACAAATCACACAGCTGGCCTAAACCATATACAAGTCTAGCTGCCATTTTCACTGCCCACTGGGAAAAGGATATTAAAATCCAATGACACAACAGGTTTCTAAATTTTGGTGTTCACTGCTGTCAGAGTCCTATCTCCTCCAACAAAATCCAAAGTGTGCTTTTTAGCCAAAGAACAAACAAATCTTATCTTGTCCATTTTAACCAATTCTGCAGTGAATTTAAAAGGTCACTTCATTACTATCAGATATCTGCAGTATGAAAATTGCTAGCAAATTAATGGCTTTTTTTACAGCCATATTCAAGTTCATTATCCATCTACAGAAGCATCAATACTCTCCTTGGAAGAGGTGGCCAGATAAGCTTCAGGGTATTTTTCTTGGCAATCTGATCCAGGATCCCAATGCATTAAATTGTTACTGGTGTTTTTAAAATTTCAGTTGAACTGCTCGACTTTTTGAGTTTACTCTTTACGTGCTGTTATGGAACAGGTATTGATTAAAAAGCACACTTTCAGGAGAGACTTATGAAAACATTTGAGGGCTTTGAAATAAAACTTTCTTTCCATTTCCCTTTTGCAGTGAAGAGGCAGAGTCAGTTCAGCACACCAGAATAAAATAAAAGAAACAAAAAAACAACAAATTAAAGTAATATTCAAACCACAACATTTAGTTTATCTACATCCAGCTCAACAGCAACATTTATAATATATCAATAATTTTTATCAGATTTTTTTCTTTAGGGTACCTTTTTATATGTTCTGATTATTTACAACTGTACAAGCAAAGCACACACTTCCAAGTGCACATATTTAATACAGTATTGACTATTTGCATTTACAGATTTTTCAACAATCTGAAAAAGATCAACTGTTTAAGATCTTTAAGGTATATTACAAAAACTGCTGCTAGTTCCTGTACTACAGTATGTTTACCCAGTAAGACCAGTGACAATAGATACATACTGTAACTGAGTAATTCTGTAATTAACTCATGCTAACCCTTAAGGGGGTCAGACTTCATTAACTGTAAGCTGTCTTATACAAAAGTTAAGGCAAAGTCATTTTCAAGTTTAAATAAAATTCAAGTCTTTAAATATCGGATGGAAATAATTCTTTAAAAAAATCAGTTGTTTAAACAAACATTTTTGTGGAATAAACTGTACTGTTATGTTCATCAGGAAAGAGGATTATCTGAACTGCCTGCTATTTAAACACGTAAAGAAAAACTTTAGGCATTTTAAAACAAAAATAGTTTATATTCAACTTTATTAGAAGCTTGCTAATTTAGTGCATCTTTGTCCTTCAGAAAGCGCATCACTTCTAAAGTAAATATAAGTGTGAGAAACCTCATCCCAGAGGTAAATAGCAGGGATCTCTTCCTCCACCACAAAACACAAATGCCATTCTTTCAAGAACTGGAAAATTTAAATCCACATGCCAATGCTTGCGGTTACAGGAAGACGTCAACACTAGGCTGACTAAGATATGAACTCTTTCAAAGAGCACTTGGGGATAAGTTAAAAAAGTCTACACTGAGCACAGGGATAACTAAAAAGTACAGTGATGACCCTAGTTAACTCCATCCTGTGAGGGGGAACACCACAAGAACACTATTGTGCTTTCTTGTGATAACATCCATTAGCAGGCTTCACCTCCATATAAGCTCACAGACCTCAATTTTTTTCTTATTCACAATGTGCTTTGTATTTGGAAATCATAGTATTCATTTTATTCTGGACTGAGAAGCTGATTACTTGCTTGCAGTACATCAGAACACAAATATTTTTGAAAACCTCTATGGTGCTCTCTGGAGGACTTTTTTGCACAAGACATCAAAAAAGATTAGTTTTAAAAAATGTTATTATCAACTGTATTAGTTTAACCTAAAAGTGCAAGTTTGTTAGCTGATACTCAGAACAGCAGCCCAATAAAAAAAATCCTCAAGGTCATATTCATACAGTTTTGTACAATATACTTTCTTCATGCTCTATACTAACTGCCACTCTGAAGGTTTAGAGATATAGTTACTTGCAGACCAGTTTATTAAAAATTGCAGCAGCACAGTTCTGCTTAATAGTTCAGGAACACTCACTATTGAGCTAGTATTCACAGAGCCACGTGAGGCTTGATAAAAAAATTGATTTTAAGATAACATTTTCCAACTTGAAAATAATCAGACTCAGCATCACCTCCAGTTAAGCACCAACCTGAATATAAGGTTTGATCAATTAAATCCTGGAAAAATAGACTGCTTGCTCAAGAGGGGAAAAATATTTCATAAAAGAAAACACTTGCAGGCATCTTATATGCCTACTAGCACTGCAAGCTCCCTAACCAGCAACTCATTCTCTGTACTTGAGTGGGAACATGGGTTTTAATTAGTGGGAAGTAGAACTCTCTTCAACCCCCTCCCAAGCATTAGTTTCACTGAGGAGATTTTGGGGGGGTGTTCTGTTCTTTATTTAAACGTTTCCCGATGGCTGGAGGGGGCGATCTGCGCCCTGACTGTCTCCGCTGGTCTTTGGGCTGTCCTGGATTTGACTTTGTGGGAGGGGGTTCTCTGTTTTTCTCTATTGTTTCTGTAGGCTTTCTTTCATCTTTCCCACAAACTACAGTGTTTGGCTTCTGTTCTTTCTGGGGCTGTGATGTAGGAGGATCTTTAGTTGTTCTCTGACAAATCTCTGCATAACTAGGTTTTCGTAGTTCCTGTGAAATTAAAGGGAAACACAAAACACCAAAGTTAAAACAGTATCAATCTTCATTTTGACTATGTAGCACAGAAACTATGTGTGATTGTTCCCTGCAGTTGCATGTACTCTTAGCACAGTCTTGCATGTGAAGTTCGTGTAAGTAGCTTTATAGCCAAGACTGGCTGCAACCAAAAGACAAATCTTGGAGTAATAGGCTTGTCTCTGAATAGCGAAGTATGACCTCGCATCTGAACTTGAACAAAGTGGTAAGAACAGCGTTAAAGAATAGTAAGTTTTTAAAGTTCAAAAGATACATTTGCAAATAGTAATACCACCTGCCTTCGGAAAAAATGATTACCTACTTCTCATAACTGTTCAAGATGCATTGCACATGTCTATTCTATGCGAGGCGTGTGCATGCCCATGTGCATGACTCTAGGACATTTTCCCTTAGCAGTACAAACAGGACCAGCTCTTGCACCACCTTAATTCCTTCTTACCGTCAACTTGGACAATGGGGAAGAGGGCGGGTTGTGTAATTGACAAGAACACATCTAAGATCTGTTACAAAAGGTAAGCAACCACTTCTTCTTCATTAAGTGCCTGTTCATGTTAATTCCATGTTAAGTGCCTCACAAGCAGTATCCATGGAGGCGGGCCTGGAGTTTATCATTGTGCTACTTGCAAAGCTGGAATCATCCCAGGCCTGCTGGGTGACTGTAGGGGAACATCAAGGTATGGGCCAGAGAGCAAGTAGTGACTCTAAAAGATAATATGAATTGGTACTGGTTCAAAAAAAGTTGAAGAAGCTTGAACTCTAGTGGAATGGGCAGTCATGACAGTTGGTGGTGACACCACTGCTTGTTCACTAGGAGATCCACTAAGAAGAAACCAGCAGGCCCTTTACACGCTCTACCACTGTGATGACGAGCTGTGTCAACTTACAGAAGGGTTTAACTCTGAGTGTAGAAGTCTAAGGCCTGTCTAAAATTCAAAGAACATAACTGATGCTCCTTGTTAGTTTGTGAGGCTTTAGGAAGATGACCAATAGGAAAATGTCCTGCATACAGTGGTACTGTGCCACCAACTCTGGTTGCTGGATGGGGGTGTAGCTGGACTTTCTCCTTCTAGAAAACTGATGAAGGGGTGTTCTGACATCAAAACTCTGTTCTTGGAGACCCACTGGTCCAAAGTGATAGTTGCCAGGCAACCTTTCACGAGGAAAAACAGCAGAGAGCAGAATGCCAATAGCTCAAGGAAGGTGTGCGCATGTGTGTGTGTGGGGAGGAGGGAAACCTGAGAGCTGAAAGCAAGCCAGATTCAAGTCCCATAAAGGAACTGGATTGTAGATTTGAGGGAAGAGCTCCTCCAAGCCTTTCAAGAACCTGAGCATGATTTTGTGAGAAGATCCATCTACATTGGCCTGAAGAATGAAAAGCTGAAAAAGCTGCTTAAAGTACTCAGATGAAAGGGCCTGGCTTTAGAGTTCAAGGTGAAGCAAGAACTTGGAAGGGGGAAGGCCAAAGAGCTAAGGCCACTTGGCCAGGTAGAGCACTGATATTTATACAGAGGGAACAATCCTGGTGACTGCAGATCCTGTGTGCTGAAGTTATCAATGTAGGCTCGCAACTCAAATCTGATGCAGTGAATATCAGTGATGGATATTGGGAGTCCGTTCCAACATCCATCAAGTGTCTGTCCACCAAGCCAGGGTTGAGAGGATGTACATGCCATGCACATTTGCAGGGGCCTGTGATGTAGACATGCACGTCAGACTACACAAGTATATGCTGCCATGTTGCCCAGCAGCGTGAGAAATACCCAGGCTGTGAGAGTAGGTGGGCTCTTAAAAAGAATATGGAGATCAGACATGGCTTGGAACTGGGACTTCGATGGCCTGGGACGAAGTGAGCACTGCTCCTTTAAACTATTTGGTGAACCAGGGCCAGAGCCGATTTCTTCTCATTTATTAGCAAACCTAGCGCCTGTCAGGTGGCCCACACCACTTAAAAGTTGTGCTGAACCTGGGCTTATAACCTGCCTCCAACAAGTCAGTTGTCGAGGTATAGGTAGATCTGCACCCCTTGCTGCCTCAGGTAAGCAGCCAGTGCCTCCATATACTTTGTGAAGACTCTTGGAGCAGATGAGAATCTGAAAGGCAATGCTGTGATGTTGGCCCATTAAGAACTGAAGGAACCTCATGTGACCACGGAAGCTAAAATCACGGAAATAGGTACCTTTCAGTCAAGGGATATGTGAGATTGGTTGAAGGCCAGGGAGACCATATGGAACTTGAACTTCTTCAGGTATTGGCTGACTCAGGTCTAGGATGGCTCTAATGCCACCCATGGCATTTGGGATCAGGAAGTGACAGGAATTAATCCACTATCCCTTCATTTTTTGCATAATTTCCTCTACTGCCCCTATCTGTAGGAGAGTTTCTACCTCCTGAAAAAGGACTCTCTTGTGAGAAGGGTCCCTGAAGTGGGATGAACAGGGCTTGACAATCGGCAGCGAAAACCGCTCGCCAGCCCCGTACTGTGCAAGCACAACACCTGCATTGCGCATGTGCTCGCTGCTGGTGAGCGGGGTGCACGACTGAAATCTACTCACCATGGGTGAGTAGATTGGGTAGTTTGTTGAGCCCTGGGGATGAGGTTAACGAGAAAGGCATGGAGAACTGCAGGGAGTGTAACCAGATGTTATTTATGGTGTTAAGCACTCAATATTCTGAGGTAATTTGGGCCCATGCAGAAAGGAATGGGGAAAACCAATCTAAAAATAAAAGGGGGATTGGATCCTGTCAGCCTGGTGTGTTGCCCTTGGGAGCAACTGTGAAATATTTGTTATGGGCCACCTGAGTAGTGAGCAGGGCCACAGAAAATGGGGCAGACTGGCTGAATAAGTCTGTCTTTCCTCTTTTGGGAGCTTTGTTGAGGCAGACACGAGTATCTGGGTGGTGATGGTGTCTCCTTGAGGTCTCCTTTGAGCTCTATGCACTGAGACACAAGGTGGCCCTTAAATCCTTCAGCCTGAACAGTCCTATGTCTGCTGCAAAATAAGAGGCACTTCCCTCGAAGGGGAGCGCCTGAATGGACATCTGGACCTCCTTCAAGAGCCCTGAGGACTGCAGCCACGAACTGAACCACATGGAGATGGCCAATACCATCAACTGCATTGCTGAATCAGGCACATCTAACACTGCTAAAAGTGAGTCTTCAGCCTTTACACCTTGCCCTCTTGCAAAAATGGCTAAAAACTCTTGCCTTGATTCCTGAGCAGAGTCCTTGAATTTGGCCATTGAGTCCCAAGTATCATCATTGTATTGCTCCACAAATGCTTTCTGACTGGCCATATGTAATTGCAGAATAGCACTAGAATGCACCTTTCTATCAAAAAGGTTGAGTTTTTAGGTGTTGCACTAGATTGCTCATCTGTTGGCAAATCAGACCACCAATGACCCTGGAGTGGGGTGGGAATACATGTACTCGGAACCTTGGGCAGGGTCCCAGTTATTTTTCCCTCTGCCCTTTTAGATCTTGGTGGGAAAGAGGATGGCATTTGTTATAGTGCTTTGACAAGTTTTAAACTATATACAAGGAAACAACCTCAAAGTATCAAGAACAAAGGTAACTGGGGAACTTGTAGGAGCAAGGAGCATTCCAACAACTGTCACTGACAGTATGGAGAAACTGAGAAAGCTAGGGGCTGGTGATGCCCAATAAATTGGCAGATGAGTGCAAGGCTCCAGATGGTGCCAGCAGTCCGATAGATACCTCCACGAGAAACGTTTCCAATCATCATAAATGTGAACACGCATATACAAACATGGAATCACGTGCTCTAGGAACTTTTCATTTAACCACTTCTCTCCCTTCTTGGATTATCAAGGACAATAGTATGAAAAAAAGGAGTTTGGGGAAAATGTTATCGATTTAAAAAAAAACAACCACCACCACCTGCCAAATCAGGTAACTAAATATGTAGGAGGTCACAATGGTGAGATCATATTAGCACACTGCCCAAAGACGAAAGGATAATCAAATAAAAAGGAAATGTGGATATTTCAATACAGCACCACCGACAAGCCAAAGAGCAATTTAACATTTGAAGCTAACCATAGCATCTGAATTATCGATATACTATTCAACTGTTGACAAGGCTCAAAAGCCATGAACTGATATTTGAAGTTCAAGACAAAATAAGCTTGGGACTGGAACACTATCTCAAGCAATACTGCCTCTACGGGTATGTCTACACTGCAACAAGTTCAAGGTTCAAACTCTGGCTCAAACCTAACCACCACTTCCATATACAGGCAGTCCCCGAGTTACGCGGATCCGACTTATGTCGGATCCGCAGTTACGAACGGGGCCCTTCATCTCCCTGGTCTCCAGCAGACCAGGGAGAGGAAGCAAAGCGGCGGAACACACGGGCAGTGGACAGGGTTGTCCGCTGCCCACGCGCTCCACGGCTTGGCTCTGCTTTGCCCCCGTCCCCCCGGTCAGCTGAAGCCCAGGTTTCAGTCTCCTTGATAAGCCTATTCGAGTCTGAGTGACCTACAAAGACTCTACAAAGGTTTGGTGGGATGATGGTTAGAGGTGGTGGATGTGGTAAGTAACAGAGGAAGAAGACGCAACAGAGAAGGGATGGAGTGGAAACCCAACTACGGGTGTCAATGCTTACAACTGTTATAAATAAAATTACAACAGAACATTTTTTTCCTCCTCCTTCACGATTCAAATTGCACTTACTGGCTCAGAAAGAGTCACTCTACCTAGGACTAACTTCTAATTCTTCAGCGAGCTGAATTTTAATAATTGAAATGCAGCTTACAGTTGCCATTTTTCTGTAAGATATTATACAGCCATATCATTGCAAATTATCAGAAGACAATCGGAGGCAAGTAGAAGGATGTTGGGCTCACAAACGTAAGTGCCAATGGACAAAAACTCTATATTGATAATAAAATACATCCAGTGATATATTTATAAAAAAGGCAGTATTAAGATCACTTACTATGGCAGCGCCATTGACTTGCACCGATTTACATGCAGTAGTGAGCGTGGAAGAAAGTCTTTCCATACTGTGTGTCTCTCTCTGCTGCTTATCGACAACCTTGGAGTCACTGCAAGAACATATCAGAAAGTCAGTCTCATGAAAAGCTATCTTCGTATTTGAAACTTGAGAAGTCAACAAGTGACCAGATTATGAATCTAAGAGTACTTATAAAACTTAGTTTTATATTGCAAGGAGATTACAGCTACATGTGAACTGATCACTCTAAACTACATAACTAGCAGCCTTTTAAAAGTTATTATTTTAAACCCTATCTTTTAAAAAGTATATTACAAATTCTTAAGTATTAAGAGAAATGTGTTCCATAAGTTAAGTTTGCAGTTGTTTGAAAAGACAGAGGCAAGTATAAGGATGCTGGGCTCACAAATATAAGTGCCAGACTAAAGCTCAGATTTTCTCTTGACATAATCCTAATTTTTGATGCTCAATTCTCAAAACAGGTTATTCTTTTATTGTATGCACAAAGTACAATTTAATATTTCTTTGGGAGGTAGCCTATGCACGCTTTGGTTCTGTATGTGTGGGTAATGTGAACCCAATGTTCAAACAGACTCAAGATTGGGCTAACCCAAGTCCCAGATCTAGCATCCAAGGACCCCACTGAAGTAGAAGGATCAAGCCACTGTCAAACCAGCAATCACCGTTCAAAACTTATTGCTCTGCAAATGTAGACAGCACTATCGGACTCACAGTCTGGGAATCTGTCAAAAGCAACCCACAATCCAATGGGCCAACTTTCTTGGTTCTCTAGACAGTCAAACTTTATGAACAGTCAAGTTTTCCCACACTGCACTATGAACCTAGGCCCCAGGTTGGCAGCCAAGGTTCAATAATTCCTAACCTGAAGCTGCAAATGCAATGGGTGCTGAAGCCCTAAGTTAAAGCCAATGTGCCAACTCAGTTTCTCCTAATGTGGAGGATACATTGCAGACATACACTGTAAGGTATAGCATTAAGAATACTGAAAGCTTTTATTCAAAACATTTACAGCTATTAATAATCAAGACAAAGCCATTTGATAAACAAGCTAATGCCTTCTGCTTTATGTATAGCTCACATGAGAGTTCAGCAGTCTCTCTGTAATTGGGTGGTAAAATTCCTTTGTAGAAGAATGGCTATTTTTAATTCCATTATAGCATGTCCAGGTAGGTTAAAATGTTCCCCTACAGATGTGTATTATGAAACAGAATGACAGAGCCAGACAAATATCCAGAAGTCATCTACTGCAACACAGGTCCAACAAGGAACACAGACCACTGGTCATCACCTACAGCCCCAAGCTTAAACCCCTTAGTCAAACTGGAAAGTCTCTGTGACAAAGGCTAAATGGACACAAATCAGTCATCAGGAATGGTAACACAAACCTCTAAGGGAATATTTTATCTTACCTGGACACTAAATAATGGATTTTAAAATAGCATTTCTTCTACAGAGGAAATTTACCACCCAATTACAGAGACATTGCGGACCTTGAATTTATTTACACTGTTGACACTGTCAACCTAGACTTGAATAAAGACGTTAACTAGTTAACACTCTAGAAAGTCAATTTCCCCTGCCTTTGACATTAGCAATTTCACGTAAAAAACTATGAATGGAACAGATCCAGACTAAATTAGCTTCATTAACATGGTTTCTACAACTGACAGGTAACTGCTTTTGCTGTTGTATACACTTTGGATTCTGTTATTTCCACTCCAACTCATCTGAAGTGGGTTTTACCCATAAAAGCTTGTTATTTGTTACTCTAAGGTGCCACAGGATTACTAATTTTTAAAGTTACAGACTAACATGACTTCCCCATAGACTTTAACATGAGAAATTGTTACTCCATTCCTTAATTAAGGATTCAATAGCTATTTACGCATAATGTCCCACCTAACCTTCCGAAAATGAAAACGTTTGATGTAGAAAAGAATAATTATAGGCAGGTAACTAAATCCTTACTCAGAAGATTGGGATGGGGAAGGAGACCGTTCAAATGTCCCAGACAGAACAGGAGATGCTGGCAACAATGGCTCTCGAGGAATTCCTGATGGAATAGTGTTTGTACTTGCATCCACATTTATGTTCTAAAAAAATTAAACAGTATATTTAAAGCAGAGGTGTAATGACAGCCCATGTTCTCATAAGTCATTTGGAAGTGAACAAGAACACTACATTACTTGCACGTTAATTTATACCAAACAGTCCCAGATCACCAGGCTAATGCTAAAAATTGAAGTTGTACTCATTGAGATCTATACTATCTATGGGGCGGGTGGGGGTGGGGGGAAAGAGAGGAGAGAGAACTGCTGCAGTTTGACACACAAGATGGTGTAGCATTTCCCCAACATCCTTTTAAAAAAAAGTGTTTACTCCTGGTCAGATAGAGCCAATGTACATATTAATACCTGGGATCCAACACAGGATCTTTACTGAAGTATCTTCTTGCACTGCTATTTGGAATGCATGCTATTCTTGAGCTCTGCCTCCCAAAAGCCTGATTTTTAGCTAGCAAAGCTTGCTTCAAATGTTTCTTACCATGGCACCATGACAACAGGGTCACTTCTTTCAACTTGGTATTTCATATAAGGCTGTAGAACCAAGGGAGGCTTTGTAGCCATTTACTCATGCCTTTTGAGAGCTTTTTCTTGGAAAGTCTCCTACACTTAGGCACTACCAGAATCTTTTGCAGAGGCAAGTTCTAGCTAAGGCCACGTCTCCACTTACAGGAAGATCAATGCTGTGGCAGTTGATCTGGCATTCAAATAGCAGGTCTAGTAAAGACCCGCTAAAATTGAATGCCAACGGTGTCCTCAGTGAACACAAGGGTGAAAAGAAGTTGATGGGAACATTTCTCTTGTTGACTTCTTTCTCTTGTTGACTTCTCACTATGGGGCTGCCCCAGAAAAAATGATATAAGGTACATCAACTTGAGCTACATAGTTGTCACAGCTGGAATTGCTCATCTTACATAGATTTTCTCCACCAGTGTAGACCTGGCTTCAGTGTCTATTGGGTTTTTGCACCTTTAAAGAAAAACTTGTAGGTATCATGGCAATTAGAGGAAAGTTCTTCTCCAAGATCAAAAATAATGTTTTTTCATACCCACATGAAATGAGATTGAGCACTGAATAGGAAGTACACAATAAAAATGTGCACTGCACAAGACTGATCCTTCCTCCTGAACAAGATGTAAAGGATCTAGTCATACTAAAATCCAACAGCTACAAAATTAAAATAGAAACTTTACTCACCACAAACCAGCTCTCCTAACACAATCAATTAAAAATATTAGCTTTGTCTATCAAGCAAGATATAACGGAGACATTGGTTCTGTGACCATTTTGGCGAATCGTAAGAGGAGCAGAGATTGTACAGGGGATTCTTTTTTGTCTCCATCTACCAAACAAAACTGGTTCCATGTTCATGTGTCTAGAATGATATTCTAGTGGGGTCTGTGGACAGGCAATGACAGGGAGGTTTTCTGCATGAGACAGCTATGATTCAGACCACATAAGTACATAGCTCCCTGAATGAAATCAGAGTTTTAAATTTGGGTGTAAACTAAATCATAAGTAGTTGCATATAGCACATATATACTTGATATTTAGACATTAGTTATAGAAGAGTGCCATACTGCACCCAAAATTACATGGGTAAAGGCTTCATTGTGCAAAATACTGAATATTCTGGCCCAAGCCCAGAGCATCACTTAACATGAATAAGCCCTAAAATGTCGTGGTTAAAGATCAGACACACAACGTGGGTGAGGTAATATCTTTTATTGGATCAATTTCTGGTGGAGAGAGAGAAGATTATACATAGCTTTTTGGAAACAGGTTTCCCAAGCTATTCATAGTACTGACGTTAGATAGAGTTGCCTCTGTCTGGCACCAGCACCAACTCCTGCTTCCCCATCCCCTTGCTGCATCTCATATAGAGGCAGCAAGGAGGGGGGAGGAAATGAGAGTAGACGACCACATTAAACAATTAGCCTAGGTTTATCAGTTAATCGTCTAGTCGACCACTTAACATCCTTAATTAATAGAGGATAGTGCATGATGAGCAAAGGACTAATTTCTAGGCTCTGGGTTTTCAGCTCATTTGTGTAAACTGGTTTGAATAAACCTCTACATTTGGGGTCTCATCTGTAAAACAAGAATAGTAATAATTGCCTACTTCAGAGAACAATAGTGATGCTTGGAAAAAATGCTAGGAGAACCTGAGATGAAGAGCAGGAATCCCCTCTTTAAACTCTGTTGATCATACCCAAAACACTCTACAGGGTGGAATCAAGCTACTTGGTGAGCCAAATCAATGCGGCCCCATTTATTCTCAAGTGCCAATTCTCAGAGTCAAGCCCTCTCTTCCAAATATGAGCACTTGCACAATGTAGAAAGCAGAAACAGAAGTTCAGTGCCCAAGGCAAACTCCTCACCCAACATGGCTCTAGATCACATGCTACAAACACTCTGGACTAATCAAGTCAATAGAAGATTAGAGACTTGTTATATGTGAGTAAAGAAGATACAAATCTTTAATTAGAACAGGTAAATTTTTCAAAGACTGAGGACGAAAACGCAGACACCACAAATTGGTGGAAAAGCTGTGCGACGGCCTGGCACTGTTCTACAAGGGGCAATGCCACTCATTAGAAAAACCTTAGGGCTTCTTTAACTGACACTGTTAGTGAGATCAATGGACACAGTGTAACTAGGGGCTACCATGACACAGGGCACTTACACCAATTGCGATGAGGATATAGTGGATCAGGGTTAGCATGAAAAGGGTTGTAGTTGGGAGAACCAGTTAAACCAATTCTGTAAGTAGTCTACATCAACCCTACAGCATGGGAGGATCTTGTTATGCTGGTTATGGGAATCAACATACATTGTACCGACAAAGTTGCCTCTAAAGAAACCAAATTAAAACTGATGGGTTGCTCCAACAGACTTCCAAGACCCAGACTCTGATCATAACTATGGGGTTAAATCTGTCCTGGAGAGCACCCTGGCCCACAGATGGTGCAAAAGACAGAGTTCGCAGAAAATGCAATCTATGAGCATTAACTCTGAATTACATCTCTCGCTGCATCCTAAAAGTACAAAATCAACCATGTTATTTTGGTGTATTTTTACATTTTCCAACTGAGATCACACATTAGCTCTTGCATTTAATTAGTTTAGCAACACTTCTTATTCCAACTAACAAACCCTGTGTTTAGAGAGTTTCCGAGCTCTTTCTTATATTTCAGGGAACATTTTGTTTTCCCAATGTACAACGGTTTCCTAGGTGTCATGGGGAGAAAACAACAACAAACAACAAATCCAACTATGAGCAAATTGCAGTGTAAGAATATTTGTCACTTAATGTTATCAAATCAACAAGTGGGAATGCTAAAAAAGTGATCTGTTTTCATCACTAGCAACTAATTAGAAATGGTTACTCTGATGCACCAATACTCCATACCAACTCAGTTACCCTAAAAGGTGGGTGCACTCTTGCCAACCAACTGCTAGGATGAGTGTGGAGATGATAGCAAAGGAGTTACACAGTTTTCCATGACCAACATAAAAGCATGGTTAATTACTTGAATTACGTTTTCACTGCACACACCACTGGATTTGAAACAAGGAGGTATGTGAAGCAGTAAGCTCA